ATTTCCGGTTTGACTAAAACAGGAAGTGACTAAAAACAATTGAATACGTCCAATCAATTCTTATTTATCTAATATACTTACATACCAAATCTCGTTTTTTTATCTGAAAAAATAAAAAAGTTATAGGGGTGAGCCACTTTTGAGGCGCACCCGGTACCTATAACTTCAAAAAAAATCCAAATTTGAAATATCACAAAACATGTATTATATCCTTTGGTTTCTCGACTGGAAATATATCGTCTTGACAAGTACTTCTCCCCGTTTTAGTTCAAACATCCAAGTGAAAGATGCTCTAGGCTCGGCACTGATTAAAGAAAAGAAAATATTACTTACCTCTTGATGTTCTATTGCAATTTCTTCCTACTGTTCCTAAACTGCCAACTGCTAAATCTCGTTCACAGTAGTTCGGCGACAATTGCAAAAACACTAACTCCGATTTTTTTGGCGTTTTTTTGATCGGTATTTTGCCCTTAGTCAGCACTAAATGGCGCTTCCTCTGTCTCCTTGGATCCAAATGCCTGGCATTTAGGTAAATGGCTGTTGCTGTTACCGGTCTGAAAAATGAGATTAGCTATAAACAATCAATTCATTTGATTTATATAAGAAAGTTCAAGTAAATAAATATTGTTTTGAATATTGTATACAAATATATTTCAATTTCTGTTCAGAAATATACCCTATGATCGAAAAAAAACGGTATCCGGTTGGCTTCGAGTTTCGAAATAAACATCGATGATATTCCCCAAATAATTTGACATATAAAATGACAGCAAGCCTCATTTCATAGCCACTGACAACGCGGTTTTTTTTCTGTTCATATTGTAGTTGTATCTTTCTGATGTATTTATTTTGTTTTAGTACTTTTTACTTGTATAGGGCAAAGAATAAGTTATTGAATAGAATTTATTTAATTCAAATAAGCGATTTAGCCTATAAATTAAAAATCGGTAATACTTCTCATAATTTCTATTTTTTAATATGCCCACGATATTTTATTCAAAACAATTAAACAAAAAAAATATTTAATTTTAATAAATATTAGCTAAATAAAGCATATATTTGCATTCTTTCAAAAATTCTACATTCTGACAAGCGATTGGCTGACCAGAACTTAATATTTCAACAGAATTTGAAAGAATTTACCCAACTCTACCACAAAAAGCAGTGATTCATTCCCATTTGCTCTTTGTGTCAAATTATTTCTGTAAAATGGATTTTACAGAAAAAAAAAGCTTACTTGTTTTAGAATCATGGAAGAACAACCTGCAAGTGTCATTATTTTATAGTAGTTAATATTAAATAATATTTATTATATTATTATTTTTATCAAAATTGAAGATGAAATAAAATGAAAAAAACAAACCTCTAAAATATAAAGATGATTCTTAAGTTAATAAATACCTCAAACTAACTTTTAATATGGAATATATCTACGGAACTACCTTGCGCGTAAATAACGCGTAACCCCGTTATACCCCTTACTGTACAGGGTATTTCAAAAAACATGTGCCATCTCTCGTGGGGAGATTCCTCACGTAAAAATAAGATTTATTTTTTATATCAACATAGGTCCGATTCTGCTTTGTTTCGTAGCTACAAGGTGTTAAAATCTTAATATTTTTTCGATTTATTATAATTTTCTTCCAAGTACTTTTATCGTTTTGAATGAAATTTTGAGGGTAAAAATTACTATAAATGTGACATATTTTAAAGCTTAAAAAGTGTCGACATATTTACCAGGGACGCGCATATGGGTTATCACTGGAAAATTTAGTGAAAAAAACATGTACGCCACTAACTTTTCTTTCTCTTGTTAGCGAAATAGTATAAGCAATTTTATACCGATTAAAAGTTGTCTCTTGATGTTGAATTTTATTAATTTGCCTTGTTCCAAGTCTAATAGCTACCTTAATAATAAATTAGGTAAAATATACATAATTGTATAATTTATTAATTTTATTTTTATTTTAATTTTATTAATTGTGACTAATAAAATTGCGATTATCTCATCAAGAAGGCCGAATTCGACAAAATTCCAAGAGATAACTTTTAATTGTCATTAAACGGCCTATACAATTTTGATGTCAAAAGAAAAAAGTCAGTGGCGCACATGTTTTTTTTTGAAAAATATTCCAGTGATAACCCATATGCACGTCCTTGATGAACGTATCGACACTTTTTTAGCATGAAAATATGTAGCACTTATAGTAACTTTTACACTCAAAATTTCGTTCGATTCGCTAACTGTACTTGGAAGAAAATTATAATAAATCGAAAAAATATTAAGACTTTAACACCCTGTAGCTACGAAACAAAGCAGAATCGGACCTATGTTGATATGAAAAATAAATCTTATTTTTACGTGAGGAATTTCCCCACTAGCGGTTGCACATGTTTATTGAAACACCCTGTATAAACAAAGATTATACTTTAATTAAACGTTCTCTATTATTTCTTATTTTGTTCTCTATTAATTAACAAAGTAATATATCCATTTTTGTGCTTGTAAGGTGGACCTGTGTATGTAGTTCACCATTTTGTCAAGAACTATACTTACTGTAATTCTTGACAAAATGGCGAACCATGATTTTAACAAAACATTTTACAAAATTACGAACGCGCTAGGGGTATTAAGATATTCTTTGGATATTTTGGAGATAGATATACTTTTTTTTGGAGATAGATATACTTTGGATATTTTTTTAGATATACTTTGGATATTTTGGAGATATTTATAACTTACTAGTTGAAGCCTGGCGCATCCGCCACCGGAAAAAATATCAGGAAAAAAAATACTTTTTATTTTTTTTTAATTAAATGAAAAACAAAAAATCCGGTGACGACAGTTTTTAGAAGAGCCAATTAGCTATCTTTTAGTAAAAAAGCAACTTTCTAGAGCAAGTCGTTACTTTAGTAGAGACAACACAGATAAACATTAGCATTTTATACAGGGTGATTCAGATTTTAATAGAATAACTTCAAGTATCTCGAAAGAACTAACCGAAATAATGATAGTTTGAATTATAAACCATACTACAAAAACGCTTCCGCTTGGAGTAAGATGGCGCTAAAATTTGAATTAATTTTCATATGGCATGCTGCTAATTAAGTAACATTTTTCAAACGCAGCTGAGCTATGTCCGGAATTTTGTGGAATATCTCGAAAACTAAGCGACATGACATATCAAAAAAAATAAGAACAAGAAAAGTTAGTAAAAAGACGGAAGGTATCGGAAAAAATACAAATTTATCCAGTGGCGTGCGACAAAAAAGTTCGACAAGGTTCAGTGCAGTTGACGCTCACAAAAACAACACCCTGTATAGCAGTTAATCCAATTTTTTCACACATATCGGCCACGTTGCCCTTAGTATTTAACCAATCACTTGCGTATTTAGATCCTCTGGCATACGAGTAATAAAATAAAAACCGAAAAATAATTCAAATTTTAGCGCCATTTTACTCCAAGCGGAAGCGAGTATGGTTTATAATACAAACTATCATTATTTCGGTTAGTTCTATCGATACCTGCAGTTATTCTAGTAAAATCTGAATCACCCTGTATATGTAGATTAGTTACCTTGCTCTATAATATTTTTTCATCAAGGCGTCACCTATCTGTCTAAACGTTGGTAAGGTTTTCCAACATGTTTTCATGGTACAACTCCCAGAAACACCGTGACATTTACATTCCAGCAAGAGGTTCATTTTGACAATCTGAAAATCAAATGCAATATTAATACATAAAAAATGGTGAGCTTACTCTTTTTACAATGTAGGTACGTCTCCTGACTTTTTATAATCTTGTCATCAATGTTATAGAGATATTAATTCTCTGATACATATTTTCTATATAAGGTAGGTTTGTAGGAACAATAAAACTTATTATTTCATGTTACTTTATTTTTTCAGACACAATAGGGAGATTGCAGATATTCATCTTGCAGAAATCAGAAATAAAAATATATTTCTGGAGATAGCAACCTTTATTGTTTGACATTTTGAAAATGTAATTGAATATTAACTAAACATATTCAGCAATAATGAACTAAATTTAAAATATTATGTAATTCATAACCACATATTTATAATACCGTCGCGTCGGTCTGAAAGCAAAATACACAGTATACAGGGTGTCCCAGGCTGAACGTGCATTAGAAGTTTCTAGAGAACTACAACATCTAGATCGGAGATTTTTTGTACATCATAGTTTTATAGATCTATTGATTAAAAATATTTTAATTTGCCCCCATTTTTTATTACATACTTAAATTCTCTGAAAATTTTTATGAATTTTGATATTAAACACTCTATATCTCACATTCACCGTTTTTAAAAAAAAAATTAAAAACTACCTGTCAAAAATATGTGTATAGCCTAAACGTCAAATTTAATTATTACCACAGCCACTGTGCCATAAAGAGAAAACATGTGGCTCTCTATTCCAACAATTAAACTGTTCGAATGTCATATAATAATGGCCGCAACTGTCATAGAATCGAGCGATTAAAAAATTATCATAAATCATTTTTTTCAAATGGAAACCCACTTTTTTTATTTCACTAGTGAAAAGGCTTTTCACTTCGTTACTTTTTGACTATACGTGTTCCTATACCTAAAATAAATCGATTTTAAGTTATTTAAGATTTAGTTTTAAAGCGTATATTTTTCTTGATTTTAACCAGTAGCATGACTTTAAAGGTCAAATGATGTAAAACAATAGATCTGGCCATGTCATATTGTGACGCTTTGTTCAAAAAGCAGCATCATTTCCGACCAACGCGTTTTTTTTCGATCATACGGAATATTATTAATAATATCAACTACCTATTAGATATCACTAAAGAGCGAAAATACGAGATATATTTTTATAAACACACTTTTTAAACTCTTAAGGCAAGCAGTATTTATAATATAGGAAATTGAAATAATTCGTTTTCTGACAGATGGAAATAAATTGTCTGACCGTTTGACACTTAATGTCAAAGGAAGCTAGATAAAATCAAGAAAAGTATACGTTTTCAAATTAAATCTTAAATAACTTAAAAACGATTTATTTTAGGTATAGGAACATGTATACTCAAAAAGTAACGAATTGAAAAACCTTTTCATTAGTGAAATAAAAAAGTGGGTTTCCATTTGAAAAAAATGATTTAAGAAAATTTTTAATCGTTCAATTCCATGAAAGCTACCTGAACTACCGCCATTATTATATGTCATTTGAATAATTTAATTTTTGAAATAGATAGCCACATGTCTTCTCTTTATGTTACAGTGGCTGTGGTACTCACTAAATTTGACTTTTAGGCTATACAAATTTTTTTGACAGGTAGTTTTTTTCGTCCAAAAATTTTTCTCAAAAACGGTTAATGTTAGGTATAGATTTAAAATCAATATTCGTAGAATTTTACAGAGACTTTATTGAAAAGTACCTTTTTAATGAACTAAAATATCGCCATTTTGGACTTAATGAATATGAAAATAATTTACAAATTAAACTTATAGTTCTTAGAAGATATGGTAGATTTTTCCTGGATATAGCTCTATGTTCTGGAAGAAATGTAGTCAAATGATATTACAGTAGCCACTTGCAAATTTCAGAGAGATTTCAATTCAAAGTAATTTTTATGCATTAGGTTCAGCTAATCAAGAATAATTAAGTACCAATGGCGTGGAAAACTTTTCTAAAGAAACCAATGCTGAAATACTTTTAGAGCAGTAAGCTAAAGCTGTTTTTACCAGTAAATGAATTTTTACCTCTTAACTTAAATTTTATGTTTATTTGAGCCATAATACAGGGCAGTGGTTCAAGACGAGCCCCTTCGTGTATTGAACTTTTGAACTTTACCTCGTAAGTATAAATGAAGACAATGTTTCTGCCAGATGCCCTAAAGTGCACTCTACACATCTCATAACCTTGAAACGTGAATCTCGCTCCAAAATACTGTGACGTGCGATGATTACAAATTGACAGTGGCTGATTGACGTGTTGACCTCCTGCCATTGTAAAAAAATCTATGTGACTGACAGCGTTCTCAGTATGAATAAGTATAATTTAGCTCATTCGACCGAATCAATCATCAATTCGTCTTCTTTTTTCGTTTCCTTTATATTCTTGATAGAGTCAGGCTTTATTATTGATCAAGAATGTATACAACATTAAGCTAAAATAATTCGTTGTTCTTTCATTTTATTTGTACGGTATATTTTGAATATACCGTGTCTTGCATCGTCGATGAAGCGTCGAAAAAGTGAATAAGTTTTCCCTATTTTTTTACCGAAAAATGTTTTGAAACTTTTTAAAGAACTCCTTAAAACTCCTCGCCTTGAAACAAATTGTTCATTTTGAGTAATTTGTACGAATTCGTTTTTGAGTTATGAGAGATACAAAACTAGGTGAACATTCAAAATAATCCGGTCCTGGTCAACAAACATAACAATCACAAGTTATGTCACAATATGACAACTCTATTATAATTTTCTTCTACAGAGATCTGTCAGAAATATCCTAAGATATTCTCCATAGATAAATGAAACAAGTTTAGATTGGAAAGTGCTCATAAGGACAATGTAAATACTATTTGGCGCCATTCTGGCAAAGGTCGCGTCTCAAAGCTTTTGATGATTTCGGATCGGCTCGGCTTTTTCCGGAATTATATCGCCAAATATTATTTATTCAAATTTATTATTATTTTCTATCAATTTTATAAATAAAATACAGTGTGTTGCATACAAGAAACTTTTTATTTTATATAAGGACATGTATGAAATACCTATATGAAACATTGGAAACCGACGTTATGCCACGATCCACGATGGTTTTTGCAGTTCACAACACAGCTTTTCAAGTTTTTAATGCCATTTTTTCACAATTATCACGGGTTTGAGTAAATAGAATTTAAATTAAACTCACAAGGTAGCAATAATTTCCTTGAAAATGGACACTTTAAACACTTTTCGGTATTCAATGATGGCGGTTTAAATTTTGAAAGATTTTAAAATTTTTGAAGATTCTGACTTTGACAAGAGAAAATTAGTTCTGTTATTGCTTGCGGCTGTTCTTAGCAACCGCTATAGCAACGCCAGATCGCGTACAACGATCGCGAACCAAATCAATTATATATTTTGACGGGCTTTCATTCCAATCTAAATTTACTTCTTAAAAAGTACACTGTAAACATAATAGAATCTTTAAAAAATCTCAATATATTTCGTAGACTTCACAGCACTTTCACACAAAATGCATTTATTAAACACTAAATAATAAGTACTCATTAATTATAAAATGGAGAAAATTTGCCCTACGTTCTTCTTTCCCTTAAAATAATTTTCGGTGTTGATACGATTCAAGTCAATTATTTCAACTCTCTTAATTCTATTCTATATTAGTGATATTAAAAAAATATTTTTTCTACAAACGTCAGTAAAAATGTAATTTTTAACGCCTGCTGTCAGTGCCTAAAATGTGAAATTATGTCACTGATGGTTAAAGTCATTTACTTTTAGCACTAGTGCTAAAGCTAAAAGTAAGTCACGTGATTTACTTTTAACACTGAAGCGATAATATTACCATAGCAACCATAAACTTCATAATTAATTTGATTTCAGAATGACATATGAATTATTCACCATATTCACTAACGTAAAAAGTAATAATACCTTGATATATACGAGCATAAACTTGTTTGTAGAAAAAATAGTGTACGATATGTGTGCTAAAAGTGATTTTATTTTGATCGAAGGGATGGGACACTCCGCCTTCGGCGTCGTGTCCCAATAAGCTTCCCTTCTCGCCAAATAAAATAACACTTTTAGCACTTATATCATAAATACCTATTTTCTACGATCGTGCAAAAAGTAGCTATTTTTTACACTATCTACTGTATTCAAAGTCATTTCTTTTCAAGTCAAAAAGCACCTTGCCATTATTAATGAGAAGTTTAACTAAACAGAAAAGAATAATTGTACCTTGATTTTATTAATCCAAATATTATTAGCCGACCATACCAACGGGTATGGTAAGCTATTAAGATCGGCAAAAAAAGTTTTTTTTAGTTTCACTCAAAATGAGTTAT